TGAAGTTAATAAGGCAGAGGTTTACAGTACAGAGTATCGAAAAGGTTTGTTTGTTGCTATTAACAGTGGAGTACAAGAAAATAGTGAAATTACTTTTGGTTGTATTCAAGAATTAATAATACTAAAAGATGAGCAGCTTTAGTTATGGTGTGAAGAATGGCAATGTCTTAGTTATAACGAATTATTAAATGCTTACCGTGTAGCTCAAAATACAGATTCATATACATTTGTAAATACTGATGAGTTATGCGATCTGAAACCATTTGCATTATGGTCTGATTTTACGACTAATTTTTCTTATATAGTCCTTCATCATATGTTATTATAAAAGCACCTCATAATTATATCTTGTACATAAAATCAATTTACTTTTCTATCTTTCATCAATATATTTCCCTACATACATTATACGCCAAAATTTTTCATTTAAATAAATATCTATGTATATATTGCTTTAAATATCGCTGTAAATTTTCAAAATCATATTACGGATGATAATGGAGATTTGAAGATAGCATCAGTAGCATTGTCAGTACATGTCCATACTGTATCTTTTATTAAATTGCTTTTATTATATGTCAACTCAATGTTTTAGACGAAGGAGTCGATGGTTATGCTTTCATGGCGTTAACAGAAACTGATTTAAAAGAAATGAATATCAAAATTGGCCCAAGAAAAAGAATATTAAGTTTAATTAATAATCACAATAAAGTGGTAAGCGCAAAGATGATTTTTGTATTTAGTATAACTTGTTAATGATAAAGATGAATGAAAGCTTATATAAAACACGGGTTTTATTTCAGGAAGTTGTATTAGTACAGGACGAAGAACACAGCAATGTGACTATACAAAGTAAAGAAGAAAATACTAATTCATTGACTGAATGCCAAAACGTAATTGTTCTTGATAATAATAGTGAAGAGGTAAAAATACGTTAATATGTATATTTAATACTAGGTTGTTCAAATATTTATGAGACTGATTTTTTAAAAGTAGTATAAAAATATTTATTTAGAAATATTATACCTACTATTTTATATATTGTCCCTAAAGTTCAAAACATTTTTCTAGAAGTTTCTGTATACCCATTTCGAATAAGGTTTTCCGATTTTTGGTTGAATATCTAGTTTTGACGCGTTTTCGACGCGTTCAAGTCCTTGTGAACAATCTAGTATTTATATTTAACACTGCATGACATATAATTTTCATATACATATATATATATATATTTTTTTTTTAAGGAACATCAAAATTCAAACAAAATGTTTGATATTAGATCCTGAATCGAAGAACACGACAAAGAATCTAAAAGAAGTCCATCGCTAATTAGTATTTTAGAATCAGGTGTAGTTAAGCCCGTGAAGAGGCAAGAACTCATCAGAATTTGTTGTGCAGGCTTGATAAAAATTAATAATGACAGCTTGTAAGTAATGATGTTTTTTGTATGAGCATTATTTATGTAATTCTATATAATTAATAACATTTATTTTTGTTAAAGATATCCATCAAATACATTAAAAACGGAATTAGCTAGCCAAATAGTTACACAGTTCCCGAAACTTCGTTCAACTCTCTCTGGAAATGGCTACGTAAGCAGATAATTTGTTTTAATACTAAAAAAAACTTATATTACATTCAATATTGCTTTCAGGAGCATTTTTATGACAGTAAAACAAATCAGGGCTTCATTGAATTTCGTTTAAAAACTATGAGAAAGCGTTTAAGTCCATCTAAGAAAAGAAGAACAGTGTCCAAAGAGTCAAAAAAAAAAACAACAGAAGTTGTTAAAAGAAGGAACTTTACAGAATGAATATCTGGAAGAAGATTTATTTCAATTAAAAGTAAATATAATACAATTGTACATAATGGTGAAACAGTGTTTTAGATGAATAATTATCGCTTGTTGTAGGTTGCTGAACTTTCTTTAAAAATGCCAAATAATACAAACAAAGATGATATATTTAGATTAAGCGATGAAACAAGATGTAATCGACAAAGACAAATGAAAAATTCTGATGAAGAATTAACATTGAGTAATATTTTACAAATGTATCCACGTTTTAAGGATTATAATGGTGAATTGGTAAGATAGTATATATATATATATATATATATATATATATATATACTTCGTTTTATTTTCCTTTTTAAGTATCTCTCTATATATATAAATGTTTTGTTTTTTTTCATTAATATTACAGATCCAGAGAGAATTCATAGCCGAATTTCCAGATAATGATACATTTTTGGCAAAATTTGTAAGCTTCTATGTACCGAGAATTTTGCAGTATTCCTCCTTAAACGCACCAAATTTACTGCATTCGGTGAATGACATTGAAGGTAATAAAATAAATTAAAAAATTTACAGAATACTTTTTCTGAATACATATCTTAATAAACTTTTTTTATAGATAATTTGAAAGCTTTGATTTTGCTACCGCATCTACTGCCATCTCCTAATTACACCAAACGAAAAAGAAATGTAAGTATATTTGTGTGTATATGTGTTGCGTGCGTGTGTGTGTGTGTGTTGCGTGTATGTGTACGTATATTTTAATATATTTTATTGCAACAGAAGTTATTGCACACATATGTATATTTTAGGACAAAAAGACAGCACAAGTAAAAAACAATGACAGCCAATGTATCTCAGTGGGATATTCAAATGTATGTGCTAAAATAACAATCCCGCATAACAGTTTACTAATTTTTAAGAATGTAAGTATCTAATCGAAAGTATATTATTTCACTCATTAAGCTATTTTCATTCAATAATCATTGAGGTTTAATTAATATATATTTGCACTTTAGGCACAAGATAATTTATTTTTAAATGAGTGCTCACAAGTTGATAAGGCATCTAATAAAAGGAACGTGCAACCTTATTTAATATGTAGTATGACTACAGAAGAAAGAAAAGGAATTTTTTACATAAAGGCAGATGATCATCTGATCGAAATTGGCAACAATGGCTTACAAGCTTTCGATATTCTCTTAAAATTACACTATTGTTTTGACATACAGTTCTCTGCAGATTTGGCTAATTTTTATGATTTTATCACTGGTTGTGTGCTACATTTAGTAGAACCAAAAGCGTGTTGTAGAGCATTTGATGTGACACTTAAAAATTTATCGTTAAACACCAGCGTTGCATTACATGAGTAAGTAAATGAAATACATTAAGGGTTTACAAAAGTACTAATGAAAAGCTAACACTGATTGTATTATAATATTTTACAAATGTATCCACGTTTTAAGGATTACAAGCGAATTAGTAAGATAGTATTTTATTTTTCTTTTTAAATATCTTATATAAAAGTTTTTTTTCTTTATTATTAATATTATATTTAGTACTTTTGTGTTTGTTTTAATAAATACATTATATACTTTATATATAAATAATTCAATATATAATGTTTTTTTCTTAACTTGTGCAATTATTTGTCTAACCTATTTCTTTAATATACCTCTCACATAGTTTTACCATCTCCAGTTGATTTATATAACCAACCGATTATTCCATTGGGATTAATCAATCGCATTTGTCGTTAAAGCAAAATTAACAAATGCGATTGATCAATTTTAATGGAATCGACCGTTTAAATTAACTGGAGTTGGTAAATCCGGCCCTAAGAATAAATATTTGACTTCAACTGTAGTGATTGTTCACTCGTAACAATAGAGTGAAAGCTTCACTTTAAGAAAAGGTAAAAAATTCACTCTGATTGAGTGAATTATTTTATCTATAATGGAGTTAAACATTTACTCCAAACGAGTGAAACAATCACTTTACGGTTGGAGTCAAATATTCACCCTTATAAAAAGTGCAATGTCACTCCATTTCGCGCGGCAGTATTGTGACTATCGACCCGAGTGAATTTTAACTCCTTTTGAGTTAAATCTCACTCGAAGAAATTTAGAGAGTATACTTAATGAATCTGAGAATATGTTATCTCAGCTCATTACAAAAAGTAATACCAAACTCGGCATTATTGGTTGTACTCTCGTCATGGAAAAGGATGGTACAGTTGTAAACGATGATAATGTTTTAAAATTTTGTTCTCGCGAAACATTTATATTATTACAACAAGGAGAATCTTGGTTATCGCCCAATGAAACAGAAATACAAAGTATGGTTCTTAATTTGGAAGACAATCCGTCCTTAATTACGACTATAAGTGAATGTACCTCCGACTCTTCATTTGCATCTACTACGAGAGATACTTCATCGCCAATAAATCCATTAAATACTACAATTCAAGCACATGATGAAGAAATGTGGACAAATTTTAATGTACCTTGGGGCGCCTTGGAGTCTTCAGTACTCAAAAAATTGGAAACAAGAAATCGTAGCAAACACGTAATAAACAATGTTGTTAATCGCACGATTTCGGAAATGAGAAATTTAAGTCAATTTATTCCGTCTAAAGCCTTTAAAATAATAGCTAAGAAGATTATCAATAAATACCCTCAAACTTTCAAAGATATGGATAAAAATGGTGAAAGTTTCGGAGATGGGACTTATACGTTATATTTAAAACTTCGCGATAGAAATGGTTATCTTAATAGATAATGTGATGAGATTGTCTCATGAGTGTGACGTATCACGTAGAGCGACCGTGCACGGTCGCTCTACGTGATACATCATGTTATTGTTTGCTACCGTGCACGGTCGCTCTCCGTGATACATCACAATGAGAATAAACAAACCTATAAATTCAGAGTTATTATTCCTATACACTACATTTACTGCATTTTATTTTTCAATTATTAATAAATAGGTTCTCACTTTTTTATACATAATTTACAGATGGTTAAATATAATTAATGATAATTTTTATTAGTATAGATTTAATCTATTATACTTTATAGCTTGTGTGTGTTTGTGTGTGTGTATGTGTATGTGTGGTAAAACACGTAATTAAGAGATTTAGTCTTTTTATTGATTTTATTATAGAACACAAAATTAAAACACAACATATACCAAAATTATTAAAACAAAAAGATATGGTACGTGAACTTATTCCAAATATTGGAGATCGATTAAACTTTATAAAAAAATACGAAGAACTATTTTCACAAGTAAAAGTAAGTGTAAGTTGTTGAGCCTGATGTTTAATTAAATATTTGTACTATTTTTCACTTATATTACTTATGTATTTTAATACGATTAGGATATCAGTGTCTGTCAAGTAGAAGAAAATGGTCATTAACCCCAATATCGCATTTACAAGAAACACATGTGAAATCTTCCAATGTTACGAGCACCTCAAATAGTAACAGTAACGATACTATTTTAATAGACGAACACGAGAAAATATTATATAATTCTTATATCGAATTGTCAAAAGAAATGGACGTGCTTGATTTAACTTAATTGAAGTGCTAGAACGAGCTCCAATGGGAAAAGCAATTATTTCATATTATAATAGTAAAAGTATCTCACATGATTGCTTTCGAAATAAACTTGTGGATATCATAATAAGACATTTATTCTCATATCATTCCAAACAGTACGCAAATTCTACATTTTACAAAAATGATCTTTAATTAATAATTTCATATAAACAATGTTGCAATTAAATATGCATTTTTACTTTTTGTATAAAGTTAAATATTATTTTCCAGCCGATTAACAGAGAAAGATTATCAATCCATAGTAGCAAAAATAAAAAACTTATTCCCTAACGAGCCTGCAACGGTATACTACATTGCTTCCATACGAAAGCAGGATTCACCAACTGGAAAAACAATCGCAGCAAGAGGAAAATTACTCGATAAAGCTAAAAATTTAATTTACCAAGGTGGTTATGCAAGACCTACGAAAAAAAGGAAAGCAACGGAAAATATTGAAATACCAACAAAACAGAAAATAGGTAACATAAGATTTAAAGAAAGAAATAAAAAATTTTTGTTATATAAATTTAACATTTTCAGATTTGTCTACGAATGATTCCTATTTATGGCTAAGTACAAGAAGTGAGCCTTGGGAAGAAGTTATTATCCATTGGAAGAATACCTATCATTTGAGGCAAGAATCAGAAGCGGCTACTGCATATGATTTTATTGAACAGTGGCCTATTTTAAATCGAACAAATGTAGATACTTTGGTAAAGTAGTAATTATTATTGTAATCTCTGTCTCTCTCTCCCCTCTCCCTCTCTCTCCCCCTCTCCCTCTCTCTCTCCCTCCCTCTCCCTCTCTTTCTCTCTTCCTCTCTCCCTCCCTCTTTCTCTCTCTCTCTCTCTCTCTCTCTCTCTCTTTGTCTCTCTTTCTCAAAGTAACCAATAATATATGTTTTACTCTCTTACAGATAAATTGTGATTTTGACGAACTGTTTCCAAACCGTACTTGTAACCTGTACAAATATTGGAATTTATTCTTTGATAAAGTAGTTTATTATAAAGAAGGTCATACAAAAGACAATCTGACAATTGATATTGAGGATTTAAAATCACTTTCTGAAAGTGAGTACATGTACAAATACACAGTTCAAGCGAATCTAAGAAATCTATAAAAATGTTTTTATAGTGTAATATGAAAAATGATGCAAAAAAATGTTCTGTATAAGATGATCTGTATTACTTTCTGTCATTGAACAAAACAATGTAGCGAATAATTTTGATATAAAAGTTATGATAAAGTAAATTTTATTTTCTATAACCAATTATACAGGATGTATCGTGTAGGGGTGCTGATATAAATATACATGTATATATAGATTA